CCCCAAAACCCCAAAACCCCTGTAATAAAATTAGTTTTGATTGAAATAGTTTAAATTAATATATCAATAATAATCTACATTTATCAAAATCATTGTACTCTCAATTAAAGTTAAAGATACAATAGAACTGCTTACAAATTAAATAATCTCTTAATACTCTAATGTTTTTGACTAGCTTTCTTTTTCTAGAGCATATAATTTTTATACAATTACATATAAAGAGGAATGCTAGTCCACTAATCTCTCACTATTAAATCTTAAATTTGTGATAAGCATGTTATTAAAATTCTGATTAAATTAGAATTCTAAGTCATTCACTTTAAACCTTATATTAAAGTCGTACTTCTTTTCATTATATACAGAACCTTCAAAATCCCAATTTAATAATAGTTAAAGACCATATAACAATTTGCCACAAAATCACTTCTCAAATCGTTTAAAGTTATCATCATTTCAGTTTAAAGTATCTATTTATCAATGATATTTATTAAAAATTATTCTATCAAACTTCGATTCGAGCACATAGATCATATCTCTATTTAAACTTTAGTTCAAGTCGTAAACAAAAATTCAATTCTAATAATAAGTATTTTGCTGATGATTCTTAATATAACCAATAATATCTAATTATAATACTGTTTCAGAATATATAATATAACCTGCCTTCTAAAATTATTATTTATTTAATTCTTATTTTATTAGGGTATGTTTATAAATTATAAATAATTATAATGGAAGTTGCTTAGAAATAATAGGATAAAATAATCTCATTAGGCATTGAAGGAAGTGCCAATAAGATAGGAGTGGGTATTGTTGACTAAGAAGGCAATATTTATGCTAATCCAAGGTACACCTTCATCACTCCACCAGGCACAGGGTTCATGCCCAAGGAAACAGCAGAGCATCATAGATTGAAGGTACTGACTCTAATTCATCAGGCTTTAGAGGAGGCCAAGATGACTCTTGACAAAGACATAACTGTGATATCTTACACTAAAGGTCCAGGAATGGCTTAGCCACTAAGTGTAGGTGCATTAGTTGCAAGAACACTCTCTTAGCTCTACAAAATACCTATTATTGGTGTTAATCACTGTATTGGACATATTGAAATGGGTAGAGTTGTAACTAAATCTCAGAATCCAACTATCTTGTATGTATCTGGAGGAAACACTTAGGTAATTGCATATAGTTAAAATAGATACAGAATTTTCGGCGAGACTCTGGATATTGCAGTAGGAAATTGCCTAGATCGTTTTGCTAGAATAATAGAACTTTCTAATGATCCAAGTCCAGGCTATAATATCGAGTAAATGGCGAAGAAAGGCTAGAATTACATTGAACTGCCTTATGTAGTCAAAGGAATGGATGTTAGCTTCTCAGGCATTCTGACTTTCATTGAAGACTTAGTAACTGGAAAGAAAAATAGTACAACTAAGAAATAACAGTAGGAGAAATAAAAAATAAAGGTGGAGGACGGGTTAATAGCTTAGACACCTCTAACATATTCAAAGGAGGATTTATGCTACAGTTTGCAAGAGACTCTATTTTCCATGTTGGTTGAAACAACTGAGAGAGCTATGGCTCATTGTAACTCTAATGAAGTACTTTTGGTTGGAGGTGTAGGCTGTAATGTAAGGTTACAGGAAATGATGGGAATTATGACTAAAGAAAGAGGTGGCTCAGTGTGTGCAATGGATGATAGGTACTGTATTGACAATGGAGCTATGATTGCATATGCTGGCTTACTAGAGTATCAATACACTAATAGATAAAGTATGCCTCTCTCTGAATGTACTTTCACTTAAAGATTTAGAACAGATGAGGTCGAGGTCATTTGGAGGAACGATTGAAGGTAGTAATTAGTTATATCTCAAGGAGTAATGTGGGAAGAATAAAGGAAAGGCTTAATTAATAAATATCATTAATCTAATTACCAATTTAATAGATTATCCTACGTGGAGGGGTTTTGGGGTTTTGGGGTTTTGGGGTTTTGGGGTTTTGGGG